TTTATTGGCATTGTCTATGTCTGAAAATGACATAGTGAGGTCCTCTACTCTTACAGTTATACTTTCTATTTCTCATTTCGATCCCTTTAGCTTTTCCTTTAAGTATTTAGATGCTATGCCATTCCTTGCATTGGTGATAATGATTCATTGTCTACAGTATTTTTTAGCATAATGCAGTTTCCCTGCTTATCATTTTTAATTCAACCTTTTAGGCTATTTTTCTTGTTACACTGTCTATGATCATGATTGGTACTCCTGATTTTTTAGTTCCGCTGAAGTATAATAGATTGCGCTCTAGCTCCTTCTTTTAACACTGTGTGAGTCTGGAGGGGAGGAAGGCAAAATCGGAACCACAATCATTTTGTAACATCTTGATGGACTGATTTCTCAACCATCTGCTGGTCCAGTAGTGGAAAGTCTCCAAACTCTATGGAAGGACCACCAAACTACGTAGTCTTGCCAATTCTGAATTGCTGCATCTGAAAGGAGCTCCAGAGCAACTTCATCAACCTCCTCTCCCTTCCTGCTCCTCGTGCCAGACCACAACTTTCCTGGGTTAATAAATAAAATAAAAAATACTTAAATAAAAATAAAAGTAATAAAAATTAAATATAAATAAATTTAAAATATTAAATAAAAACAAAATTAATAATTGAATAAAATAAATTAATTAAATACATTTTAAAAACTTTAATAAAAAACTCAAGAGAAGAGCAAATGGTGCCACATTGGTTCTTGGTACGATCTTGGGACCACCATACTGGGGTAAGTGTATCAGAAGTGAAGCCAAGGATATGAAGGGTAATACATTTCATGCATTCCCTTGCGCAAAAGGAGAAGTAGCTGTCATGCCATGGCCCTATCTGGATGCACACTTGAAGCACCACAGCATCCTTGTCCCCAGGCCTCTCAAGACCTCACAAGCACTACCGAATATCTTTTAATAAATCTCATACAAAAACCTAAGTCTTATGTGTGGACTCCTTTCCTGTTCTTCACCCCATTTTAGATGCCGTTTGTCATATAATCACTCATTTGAAGAGGCCATGCCACCAAGTATAGGCATCAAAGAATACAGGAGAACTTGATTAAACTCCTTTTTTAATTTTAAACCCCTAAAATTCACACAGAGTGAGTTCTCGTTTAGCTACAATGATTGAGCCTAATTCAGCAACTCATTATGAAAACCCTCAAGAAACCCATTAGCTGAAGGGGAACCTCGATCCCTGTCCCTGAAATCTAAGGCCAGCCTGGCAGAGAGGGCGAACGAGCTGCCCATGGAGGCACAATTTACTGACATCTCTGCCTCCCATCATTAAGGCTCTTGAAGACAACTCTGATCTGCTCTTCCAGTGAGGTCACTGATGTCAGGTGGAAAACAAGAGAGTTGCAGAATCATTCAGCCTTATACCAGGAATTCTTGTTACTGCCAAAGTAGTAGAGATTTTTGTTATAAAAAAACTCAATTCTCTGGATATATATGCTTAGAGATTCCTTAAAGAAAGGGGAATAAGAATGGTGATAGACAGAGGCAGGAACTATGCAGGGTCCCCCAAGATACCTGGGAAGAAGACAGGGACCAAAGCTGCCTGGTGAAAAGCAGGCATACCTCAGAGACATTGCAGGTTCAGTTCCAGACCCACCACAAGAAAGCAAATACCCCAAGAAAGTGAGTCATACAAATCTTTTGGTTTCCTGATGCATATAAAAGTTATGTTTATGTTATACTGTACTCTATCAAGTGTGCAATGGTATTATATCTAAAAAAAACAGCCTACCTTAATGAAAAAAACTTTTATTGCTAAAAAAAAAATACAACCATCATCTGAGCCTTCAATTAGTCATAATCTTTTTGCTGGTGGAGGGTCTTGCCTCAGCATTGATGGCTGCTGACTGGTAGTGGTGGTCACTGAAGGTTAGGGTGACTGTGGCAATTTCTTTCTTTTTTTTTTTTTTGGCAATTGGGGTTAAGTGACTTGCCCAGGGTCACACAGCTAGTAAGTGTCAAGTGTTTGGTCTGAGGCCGGATTTGAACTCAGGTCCTCCTGACTTCAGGGCCGGTGCTCTATCCACTGCATCATCTAGCTGCCCCCTACTGTGGCAATTTCTTAACAAGACAACATGAAGTTTGCAATATGGATTAACTCTTCCTTTCACGAAGGATTTCTCTCTAGTATCTGGTGCTGTTTGATAGCATTCTACCCACAGCAGAACTTCTTTCAAAATTGGAGTCAATCCTCTCAAGCCCTGCCACTTCTTTATCAATTAAGTTTATGTAGTATTATTCAATATTGTTGTGTCTCAAGGAATAGGGAGGCCCAAGGAGAGGGAGAGAGATTGGGGACTGGCTGGTCAGTGGAGCAGTTGGAACACACACACCATTTATAAGTGAAGTTTCCTCTCTTACATGGGCACAATTCCTGGTGCTCTAAAACAATTACAATAATAACAGCAAAGCTCACTGATCACAGATCACCATAACAGGTAATAATGAAAAAGCTGGAAATATTGTGCGAATCACCCAAATGTGACAGAGACATGATATGATGTGAGCACATGTTGTTGGAAAAGTGGTGTGGATAGACTTACTCGACTCAGGGTTGCCACGAACTTTCAAATTGCAAAAAACACAATATCTGCAAAGCACAATAAAATGAGGTATGCTTGCACTCACTGATTTTCTGCTTCAGGTCAGCCGTGGAGATATTGAACCTGTCATGATTCGCTTTCCACATCTGCCCACCCGAAGTCTGGCACTCATTTTTACACCAAAAATCTGCGACCAGAGTACCACAGGATCAGGAGAGAAGACCCAGGATCCCCAGGTGAGGGTGTCTATTAAATTCCTAGAATCATCGATTTAGGGATGGGCGGGACCTCAGGCCCCTTCTCATCCAACTCCTTCATTGAACCGATCCAGCAGCGGAGGCCAGGAGAAGTCAATGAATTTTTTAAAACGAGCACAAGTTTATTTAATGTTATATTTAATGCCAACAGCACAATACACATATATAATCTTGATTACGGGCGGCTAGGTGGCACTGTAGTGGACAGAACACTGCTCTTGGAATTAATAAGACTCATCCCCGAGTTCAAATTCAACCACTTACTAGCTGTGTGACCCTGGGCAAGTTACTTAACCCTGCTGGCCTCAGTTTCCTCCTCTGTGAAATGAGCAGGAGAAGGAAATGGAGAACCACTCTAGTATCTCTGCCAAGAAAACCCCAAATAGAATCACAAAGAGTAGGACACAACTGAAAAAAATGACTGAATAACAACAAAAACCTTGAGTGAGCTCCAGGGGTTTGAAAGGTAATGGGGTTGGGGCAGCTGGTGGTGCAGTGGATAGAGCACTGGCCCTGGAGTCAGGAGAACCTGAGTTCAAATCCAGCCTCAGACACTTGACACTAGCTGTGTGACCCTGGGCAAGTCACTTAACTCCAATTGCCTCACCAAAAAAAAGAAAAAAAGATAATGGGGTTTACGCATGAAGCAGCCCCACAACATAAGTGGCATTTTAGGCTGCCAATGCTAAAGAAAATCTACAAAGGGAAGGATGGAATTTTGTTCTGAATACAAGGTGAGGGGAAGCCAAGAGGTGAAGGTGAGGAGGGAGGGAGAGAATTCCAGGAATGAGGGACAGCCTGGGAAAATGTCTAGAGCGTCTTATGCCAGGCAGAGAGGCCAGTGTCGAAGGGTCATATAGTAAGTGGCAACGGGGAAGGGAGAGTATACCATAAGGAGACTGGAAAGGTAGGAGGAGGTCAGCTTTGAAAGGCTTTAAAAGCCAAAGAGGGGATTTTAGAGTTGATCCTGGAGGCAATACGAGACCAATGGAGTTTATTGAATAGAGAAGTGACATGGCCAGACCTGTGCTTTAGGAAAATTACTCGGATAACTGAGTGGCGGATGGAATGGGATGAGGAGGGACTTGTGGCAGGCAGAACCACCAGCAAAAGGCATCCAGGTGTAAGGCAAAGAGCACCTGCCCCAGGGTGGGGGCAATGTTGGAGGGAAGATGAGATGAATACCAGAAATGTTACAGAGGTCAAACATACAGTACTTGATAACAGATTGAATTTGTCCCAATGCCAAGAAAGGAGAAGCGATTCTATTTTGTCTGTAGTTCCTCTGTTTTGTCTCTGGCCCTGTGTGGCAGCCCCTGACCTAGTTTCCAACCTTCTTTTCTGCTGAAATAGCGAATATCCAGAACGGTCCTGTCTATTAGGGAAGGGTTAAGAGAAACAACCCAAACAATTGCCTTTCCCATTCCATACCCCCAACCTCACCCTCAAGACCCCAGTAAGAAGCCCTATCCAATCAAGAGGTGACCCCCACCCAATTTTTGCTGTTGTTGTCCAGTCATGGCTGACTCCTCATGACCCCACTTGAGGTTTTCTTGGCAAGGATACTGGAGTGGATTGCCGTTTCCTTCTCCAGATCATTTTACAAGTGTGGAAACTGAGGCAAACAGGGTTAAGTGACTTGCCCAGAGTCACACAGCTGCAAGTGGGGCCAGATTTGAACTCAGCAAGATAAGTCTTCCTGACTTCTAAATACACTGTGGCTGCCCAATTTACCTCCTGCCAAATCGAGCCTATGTAAGCCTTGTTCTTTTGCTCCTTCAGGGAGTCTTCACCCATGTAGGTGGGACTCTTGCTAGTAAATTCAATAAACCTTTGTGGGTTCCTAATTTTCTAGTTCTGGTTCTGATATGTTCCAGCACCGACAATTTCACCCCCAGAGGCTTCTCCAGAATTCTTGGCATGGTAACTGATCCAGTCAGGACTTATATACAAATAATCCCCGGGTAGAGGGAACCTTGACCTATGTCCGCTGCTATGGGAACTCACCTTAGGCAAGACTTTCCTCCTTCTTTAACATCAGTCTCTGTGGTTTGACTAGGGAAAGAGGTTTGGAGCCAGGAATGTTTTATGGAGAAAGAGGGTTGGGAGGCAAGACTCACACAGAATAGTTACCAATGTCAAAGAAATAGTTACCAGGCTTGTAACCAAGAGGGTCAGGGAAGCATGAAGGATTCTCAGGGCCTGGGGAACTGGACTTTCCTTCTCTCTGAAGGTTATTTCTGTAAGAGCAGAGGGAGAAAATAAAGACAAGATCAAATTCTTTTTCTTAGAAATGTACTTTAGCAGCAGTTAATAAAAGTAAATAAAAATTTTAGAGCTGGAATTCAAACTTCGTTCCTGTGATTCCGATTTTAGTACTCTTTTCATGGTACCTGATAAGTGCTATACCAAGGAATTTCGGGGAGGGGGGAATGAAGCTCTTGATTATCTGAATGATTTAAGTCAGAACAGTATTGGAAACAGGCTTCTATATATTTTAACTTGGATTCTGTTATGTGCCTCACTGACTTTGCTGATCACTGACCTGGATTTACTAAGATCAGTCTGGTCTTAGGGGCTTACCTCCATTGGGTGACAGACACAAAGCTCTGAGCTCACAGCATAAACACCCATCTAAACATTCCCCTTCCCATCCAGCCCCTGAGCCAGTGCCTGATAAGGTCCAATGATTGCTAAATGTTGCCTCTGAGAGCATGATGCAGGTCTCAGAAGTGGGGGACATTGATAGGTAAGATAGCCACTGTGAGGAAGTAAGACTCCTTCATGTACCTAAAGAAGGACCCAAGTCCCATCTTTGGGCTGCTGCAAACTTCTAGGGCTCACACCCTAGCACTTGACACTTAACCCTTTGAGATCAGCAATGAACTCAGAGTCAGAGACTCCCTATGTTAACATGCCTCAGTGGGAAGTGATCAGCTTCCCATGTCTCCATTCAGCTCATTTGGGAATAACGTAGACTACAGCCCCAAATAGGTCTCCCTTAGTTCTCCTTCAGATTCATTTCCTGCTGTGGCTGGTGAAGAATTTTGAAAGATTATTCATTTAGAAAATATTTGCTGCTAAATGTTTAGGAGATGAGACGACACCCAGTTCAGTAATACAGAAGCTCTTGCAGGAGCAGGGCTATGGGGTGAGGAAACAGCCCAATCATGAAAGTAGAAAGATTGTGACATAAACCCCAGGCTCCCCCAGGCTCCCACCTTTTCCTGGCAAAGAGCAGCTTCCTACCCATTGAGAGTCCTGGGCACCGTTCAGAATGATTAACGGAAGGGTGATACAAGCCAGAGAACAAACCAGTATGTGGCCTGCGATCTGTCAGGATGCTGAAGTATGGAGCGGCTTGGGTGAGAGCAAAGCACTCGCTCAGGAGAAGGAGGGAGCAAGATGTTAAGGGAAGGAATGTTGGATGAGAGTCAGAGGACCTCAACCCAACTATGTCCTGCCAGGGTGACCTTGGACCCAGCTGGTCACCATTGAGGGCCAAATGTTCTCATCTGCAAGATGAAGCGTTTAACGTATTAGTCAATTGAATATTTCTTAAGTACCCACTTGGTGCCAGGCACTGTGCTGAGCCCTGGGGATACAAATAAAGGAAAAAGACAGTCCCTACTTTTCAAGAAACTCAATCCTAATGAAAGAGATGATCTCCAAGGTCTTTTTGCTCTCTTTTGTCATCCCGTGACAGAAAGAAAGGATAATAACAAGGACTGGAATCCATGCAGCCCTTAAAGTGCATTTTTTATTAGCTCCTCACAACGGCCATGAGCCATACAGCCATTATCTGGCAAGGTAAGATTTGAATCTGAGTCCTCCTGACTCAAAGTTCAGCACTCAGCCTACATGCCTTCTTCCTTTAAGCAAGACAGAAGGAAAGAGTAAAGCTAAAGAGGCCAGAGAAATGGAAAGAAAGGAGGGAAAATATGGAAATAAAGTAAGATCCATGCTTTGTTTCACCCTTCCTTTCTCCCTTCCCCCCAGGCAAAGAAACAGTATCTCCCCAAGCCTTGCCCATCAGTTCAGGGACAGCCCTGCCTCTCTCTAGGGCTATCCCCTCACTCAGAATCTATATGATGAGAACACTTAGAAGTTAATCTGTCACTCTGAGATAGACACAAGTCTAGGCTCTAAACCATTGCAGATAGTGAGGCGTCCTTCCTGAAGATCACTCCCTTCTCCCTTTGGCGGCCATGTTCATTCTGCCAGGAAAATCCTCATACTCTGAATTCCATTCAGTTCAACAAGTGTGTTTAAAGTAATTAGAAAATTGGCACAGTGGATAGAATGCCAGACTTTGAGTCAAGAAGACATATAAAAGCTCAGACAGGTCACTTAATCTCTCTGTGCCTTAGTTGCCACATCCATAAGATGAGAGGGTTGAACTCAATTGACTTGCAAGTTCCATTACAGCTGTAAATCTATAATCCTTTATTCTAGGTTATGGGGCTGGGCCTCAAAGACACAAAGACAAAATTAATCTCTTTTCATCTCATTTCATTAGCTCTCAGCTCTAGGCCCTTTCCTTGGCTATCCTCCGTTCCTGGAATGCTCTCCCTCTTCTGCTCCCACCACCAACCCTGGCTTCCTTTAAGTCCCAATTAAAAGCTCATCTTCTTCGGGAAGCCTTTCCCAACCCCAATTAATTCCAGTGCTTGCCCTCTCTTCTTTATTTCTCATTACATATATTGTATCTAGCTCGTTTGTACATATTTGCTTGATTATCGCCTACTCCATAAGATTGTAATGTAAGCTCCTTGAGGGCAGGGACTGTCTTTTGCCTCTTTTTTGTATCCTTGGTGCTTAAGACAGTGCCTGGCATATAGTAAGTATTTGTTGTCTTTGTCCTTTGTTCTATGAGGACTATGATATCAGGAAGGTGATGTCATGACTTGCAAACAAATTTAAGTAAGACAGGGCTCTACAAAGTCATCAGCTTCACTTTCTCCTCTGGAGCCATCTGAGTCCAGTGGCAAGATATAGATCAGGGTGACAGAGATGGTCCCAGATGCAGTGGGAAGCCTAGGCCTTTTCAGCTGATCTTTCCCAGGTCTCAGTTTGTCTGAGGCCAACACCCACCCAGTGATTAAGGCTAGGTAAAAAATGAAGCAAAGAATGTCTTCTTTTACTTAGTCAAAAAAAATCAATCTGGGAGGGGAAAACCCTCAGGGTTTCTGGCCAAAACAGAAACAATTGCTATTTATACTGACTCTGTTAAATGATTGACTGACAGTGATTTCATTAATTTCTGCTGCCTTCTGTCCAAGATATCCACCCATGTGAAGTAATTTTGAGAGCATAACATACTCCTAAGCTATCAGTTTTACTTCCCTATTCACTGACCAAAGGGTATTTCCCCAAACAAGTCAGCTCTTTCCCCAACCTCTTCTCCCTATGCCTATTAACAGACATTGAAACATATTTACTTTTTTTTTTTACCATAAACATCTCTTGTGTTCTTATTTTGCTTCAATTATAATGAGGGCAGGGGTTACCTGGAGAATTAGAAATATTTTAATTGGATCATATAACCAAACCTCTGCCTGGATGTTAGGAATTTTCCTAACTGGGGGCTCTGAGCTATTAACATTCTGTCAATACATTTTCCTCTGATATAAATGAAAGAAAATAATCCTGTGGAAATGATGGCCATTATCTGGGCTGAAAGCTGTTGTATAAGGTCTGAGTAATTAGCTCTTCAGCCTCTGGTATGAGAAATGGGGACGTGGAAGTTGGGGAGGAAAGATACTGGTGGGGCTTTGATGAGATTCAGCTATGACCTCTTTCAGAAGAGAGAAACTGCTAGAACTAAGCGCTGTCCACAGCATCACATACTGGTGCTACCCTATGAACTGACTTTTACCTAATGAATTAACCTTTTACATATTCAGTAGTAGTCTTCTTCTTCTCCACAGAAGCATGCCACTGCCACTACCACACCACCTCAGATTTGACAGAATAAGCTAAAAAGAATCAGTGGCACAGGAGCACCTGGCAAAAGGAGAAACCAAAAGTAGAGACTGAAAGAAGGGTTGAGCTATGACCAAAAAGGGAAAAAATCAAGGTGAGCCATTGACCCCCAAAAGTATCTCAGAGCAGAAGAAATGGCTGAAGTTACCGGTTATACTCCCCCTTTTTGAGGAGTGAGAGAAGTTCCAAAAAAAATCTGCTCTTTCCCCAAATTCCTCTCCCCATGCCTGTCCAGTAACAGATCCTAAAATAAATACAGTCTGCTCACTTCTTTTATTTAAATGTCTCCTGTATCCTCATTTTTTGTCAAAAAATAAAGAGACCAGGGCTTAGCTAAGGATAAAAATTGAAATTAGAACTGAGAGCCAAACCTCTCACTATATTATGTGTTATAGATTTTAGGAATTTTCTTAACTAAGGGCACTGAGCCACTGGGATTGCTACAGCAATAGCTTTTCATCGGATATAAATTCATTAAATATGCATATAGGAGACAAAATCAAAGCAATAACATCAGTAGATTAGATAAAATATCCACCTTGTGTGCATAAAATTAACAACAGTTAGTTAACAAACTATGCAATACACCTACATTATGTACAACTATATGATGACACTAATATAAAGCAAACAAAGAGAGAAAAACAATAAAATATAAGTATATTGGAAATGCAGCAATTATCAAGTGAATCAATGACTATATAAGTAGATACACGCAAGATTCATATTGCACGTAAACATTAGCATTACCATCTAGCTACCTATGCAACATTTCCATCCATCTCACCTGGTCTATTTTAAGTTAATCTGGTCATTGGTCAGACAATCTTCACCCTTTGGTGACCCTGGTAACCTAAACTGCTCCTATATCAGTGCTAGTTAATGGTATGAGTTCGTCATAGTCTTCATCAGAATTATAGTCCTGCTTTCCTAGACCATAAATTGTGGAGAGCCCAGGCTGACTAGCAGTGTTATTATGTTCTCTGGGGCACATGCATATTCTAGAAAGTCTGTACAGGTGAAATACTTGGTAGAAAAGATATTACCTCTGGGGTTGGTCTTTTCCCATCGTTTGAACTAGTGGTTGGAGCATATCATAAGAAGTCTGTAGTGGAGTGCCCCAGGGATCTGTGCTTGGCTCTGCACCAACATTTTATAAATGACTTGGATAAAGTGTAGATAGAATGATAAATAAAAATGTTAATTCAATTGAAACATACTTAAAGAGTAATAGTGGACTGTGGGAGATGATCATCTAGTTTTATTTCATCTTAGTCAGACCATATATAGAGTACCACATTTTAGGAAGGACTACCAAAAAGCTGGACCTAGTCCCAAGAAAGACAATCAGGATGATGAAAAGGCTTGAGATCATGCCATGTAAGGAACAGTCAAAGGAACAGTGGATGATTAATCTGCAGAAAAGACTTCACCATCTTCAGAGATTTGAATATTAGCCCTGAAAAGAATCTAAGAGACCACTCAATACAAGCCAACACAAGAATTTATGATTTACCTGACAAGATCACCCAGAATCTGTTAGGAGATCTTTACTAACCATTCAATCATTGGGCAACTTTCCTGGTAGAAGGATCTCCTTAGATTGTACCAATATGCACCTTCCTGTAACTTTCACTCAGTTGACTTCCATTCAATTCAACAAAAGCTTATTAAACACTTCTTATGTCTCAGGGGAGAAAAGAGCAGGGGTGCTTTACCTTTTGAGGTCATGAGCCCTTTAGGGCTCAATCTGGGAAAGCCCATGGGCTTCATTAATGTTTGATGCTTACATTCATGATTGAAGGATATGCTCAATTAGATGTTAGTGAAAATCCAAACCTAAAATATAACCATGGCTAAGAACTCTTGGGATAGAGAGTTGGCTTCAAAGCCAGAAAGGCCTGGGTTCAAGCCCTGCCTGTGCCTGACACATGTTGGTTGTATAACTTTGAATTTACACTTAACCTCTCAGTGCCTCTACAAAATACCTTGTCCACCCTCACCCCCTGCACTGACAGTGCCTTTCCTCGGAGACTGCCTTCAATTTACTTTATATACTTCTTGTATGCACATAGTTGTTGGCATGTTGTCTTACCCACTAGAATGTGAGGTCCTTGAGGAAAGGCACTGGTTTTGCTTTGATGAGCGGGGGGTATCCCCAACACTTTGGCACACAGTGGGTGTTTAATAAATGCTTAGTGATTTGACTAAACTCTCTAGCACTACAAGTTCCAGAAGTTGCTCCTATCCCAGTGAAATTACAGGCCCAGTCTCATCCTTCTTCTTGTCTGAGGCACTAGGTGGTAGGTGCTCAGGATATAAAAATCAAATCAAAATCATCCCTCCCAAGAGCTTACTTTTGATGTGCAACATGTACACAAATAAATTAATGGAAAAGATAGACTGTGGGATCAGAATTCTGAGCCTCCTGCTTTTGCTAATCAGTACTATTACAAAGAGATGTCTACAGGTAGACTCAGTATTGCTATCCTGAAGGACCTTGGGCAAGCTAGGTGGTACAGTGGTTGGAGCACTGAACCTGGAGTCAGGCACACTTGAGTTTAAATCCAGCCTCACATTTTATAGCTGTGTGGCTCTGGACAAGTCATTTAACTTCTGTCTGCCTCAGTTTCCCCAACTGTAAAATAGGGATCATAAGAGCACCTACCTTCCAAGGTTGTTCTGAGATCAAATGAGATATGTATAAAGTACTTAGCACATTGCCTGGCACATGATAGGTGCTTAATAAATGTTTATTTCCTTCCTATGTGATATTTTTGCCTTAAAACTTAACAATGTGAATGTTCAACCTGCTTTTTTAACTTTCTATAATCAATTACCCATTAATAGGTCTTATAAAAGATGGTAGGGAAGGGAGATGGTGAAGGAGGCTACTAGAGAATGAAGGAATTAGCCTTGGAAAGGAATTCAGAAGTTCTGACCCATCTTCCCTTTTGAGACAGACGTGATAGAAGAAATGAAGAATGAAGACATAAAAAGAGAGAAGTTGAAGGATCTCATGACTTATGACCTCAGTCTCTGGAGAGTAGGAACTGAGACATCTGCTGTGAATGAGAGTGTCAATGATGGGCTTATTGGCCTGAGGACCAGCAAAGCTCTGAGATGGTCATTATGCAGGAATATATTCATTCTCTATTTGGGAATGTACTGAAGATGAACAAATGGCTGGCCAAGTAGCACTTCCAGGCCAGCTGTGTTTAGGTTATGAACATGATGCTGGTGCCATCCATAGAGATGGAGATATTTGGAGGATGGATAGGTTTTAAGAGAAATAGAATGAATTCCATTTTCAGCATGTTGAATTTGAGATGTCGACAAGAAATGCAAGAAATGTTGAGCAAGCAGTGAGGAATTTGGTAACGGAATTTAGGAAAGGGATTGGAGATCTTTCATGGCATATGCACATATATGTATATATGTATATTTAAGTCATAACAATAATAATAGCTAAATCTGTTTGATGATCACCCTGTATTTCTGGGCACACAGCTCTTACTATGTGCCCGGCACTGTGCTAAGCACTTTACAAATATTATCTTGTTTGATCCCCACAACAACCTTGGGGAGTACATGCTATTATTATCCCTATTTTACATTTGAGGAAACTGAGGCAAAGAGGTTAAGTAACTTGCCCAGGGTCACACAGCTAGTAAGTGTCTGAGGCCAGATTTGTACTCAAGTCTTCCTGACTCCAAGTCTAAAGCTCTATCCACTGCATCACCCAGAGAAAGTCAAGGGGAGAAAGTACCCAGAAATACAGGGTGGTCATCAAACAATCAACAAACATTTATTAAGCATCTACTATGTTCTAGGCCCTGAACTCAACACTGAAACATTGGTCTTTGCCAGCCAGTAAAAACACTGCCTTCTTCAGATGGTGGTATCCAATTGGACATTTATCAGAATATGTCAGTGGATTATTGTCTATCTATACATGGAGCTTAGCCATAACAGCCCACATTCAAGGCAAGAATCCAATTTGTGGAAAGGACAGTGAGTCTGACTATATTAGGAAGTTGTCTCCAGGCAAATGAAATAGATTTTGATGGTCATCAGGCTCCTGGCACCATACCCTCTATCTTTGCATAATCAAAAGGGCTTGCTTAAATTCATAAAAGCCAGCACTGGTATGTTTGTAAGGCAAATCCTTGGGCACTTCCTCACATTTCTCTATTTCAGAAATCCCCAAGTGACATGAGGAGGCCAGTTTGTGCTCTTTTTACCTTTCATTTCTGATTCTTGTTCATATGTAGCCTATGAGCCCCATCTCATTGTGGGCCCAAATTAGCTACCCAAGGTTCTAAGTATTTCATTGGTCAGACACTTTTCCAAATCTTCTCCACAGCTTCTAAGTGCCTGAGACTGGATTTGAGCTCGAGTCTTCCTGATTCCTGGTCCCCTGCTCCAACTACTGTACCAGAGTCACAGTCGATCACAAGGCATCCCTAATTCATGACATATGTTAATAAGTAGCATTATAAATAAAATGTAATCATAATAATAATAATAATAGCATTTATATTTTACTTTAAGGTTTGCAAAGCACTTTATAAAAGTTACTTATTTGATCCTCACAACCAACTCTGTGCTATTATTATCTCCATATTACAGATAAGTAACTGAGGCTGATAGAGGTTAAGTGATTTGCCCAGGGTCAAGGTAGTAAGAGGTTGAGACCAGATTTGAATTCAGGTTTCCTTGACTTTCGGATCTAGCCACTATACCACTTGGCTGCCATACAACCTTGTTATCATCCTTATAAACCTGGAACTTGCTCTCCAAAAACACATGTATGTTGATAGTCTACACATGGGAGAATGTGTGGAAACCATGCATGAAGCGATGCACATCCAGGGAGCACATGTGACTGGAGCACAGATAAAAGAATCACTTCATGTTTCTGACACTGAAAAGGTCCCAAGGTTGTCTAGTGGTGTCATCATGCTGCCCTCATGTTCCACACTTGGAGTTGCATTCCATTGCCCCCACTTTTCACTCAAGCTGGTCATCGTCACCAGCTAATTTTTGGATAACCTAATGCCTTCTTTAACATTCACCATTGATGCTGTGGTTACAGATCATTCATAAATTCTTTTAGTTACCTCCAACATTCCCTTAGTTAACAAGCCTTTCTTTCTTCTGACAGACAACGGTTTCAGGCTGTTCCTTTCTGTTCCTCAACTATCATCCTAGGAGTAAGTACAGTCTTCAGAATCCACTACAATTGGGTCCTCCAGTTACTGCTGGTGCTACGATTAGGAAGCCTTTACCTGTACGGAAGATGACCAATATACTCAGCTATCATTCAGCAGCTGGGAAGCTATTATGTCTCTCATTCAGGTTCTCATCCAATCACTGGGATGGTCTCTACAGTTTTCTCATCCAGCCTTTTCATCTAAAATTCTCAGCCAATGACTATGAAGCTCCTTTTTCTGTAGCAAGACCGTATATATTCCTGTTTTATGCCACTGTAGACGTTCGGGATCCCATGGTCATTGAATGAGGGTATATCCTTATTGTGTCTTTCCAGGCATCTGGAATAATTCCAGTGCATGAATAGGGAATCATCTTTTGGGTACCTCCAGATAATTAACTTGTTTGAGCAAAGGTCTGTGTAGGCTTATTTGGCTATCACCTTTCTCACCTCCCTCTGTATCTCTTGATCTTTGACTCAAACTCTCCTACTGCCTTCTTAGGATCCTCAATTTTTGTACATTTCCAGCTTAGGATTTCCATCAGAACTCTCCAAAAGTCTCCAAACATTTGGTCCATTCTGCACCTAATACAGTGCCTGACTCGTGGTGAGCAACAAATGCATTTTGAATGAGTGAATGAGTGAGCGACTGAATACATGGCTTGGGAAGTAGTGGCTTTCCCCTCAGTGTCCTAATTGGAAGTCTTCAAGCAAAGGTTAAGTTGTTTCTTGTCTAGTATTTGATAAAAAGGAATTCTTATTTAGTTGAGCTGGCACTTTATGGCCTCCAAATAAGGAAGGGCAGAGAAGAGGTAGGTGCTTCCAAAGTAGAGGGAACACATCTAGAATAGAAACAGATTTATTTCAGGAAAAGCTCAAAACATAAAGACTTTTATGAACTGTGAAAACAGAACTGAAATAACTATTGTAGGTCTGTCTTCTCTCCATCATTCATTTTCATTGTCCTATCCACATAAAGCAGTGCTCCCTTCATATCTTTATTTTTTTTCTTTTTTACTTTTTTTGTAAGAGATAACATACAAATGGGCACAGTAGACGGAGTGCTGGGCATGGACTCAGGAAGACCTGAGTTCAAATCCAGTCTCAGATACTTCCTAGCTGTGTGACCCTTGGCAAAGTTACTTAACCTCTGTCTGCCTCAGTTTCCTCATCTGTGAATAAGAATAATAATAGTGCCTGCCTTACAAGATTGTTGTGAGGATCAAATGAAGTAATATTTGTAAAGTACTGGCACATGGTAGGAACTTAATAAATGCTAGTTTCTTTCCTTCTTTTCTACAACCCAGTTTTACAAAAATCCTTTTTGTTGTCCTTAGCATTTCTATCCAGCTGTGGCTCATTCTGAGCTTTAGCAGTCCTGATATTATTCCTACAAGACCATACCTTGTAACTGTAGAGATCATTTATCACTTTCCCTTTTCTCCATTAACAGCACTTGTCTTTAAAAAATCTAATTTGACCAATGAGTTTTCCATTCATTCACATGAGCTTCTAAACAGCACTCTCTTCTCCGTTTCACTAATACTACGTCCTTTGGAGTCTTTAGAGCTCCATTCTTAAGAAGCTCCTGTTATTCCTGGAATGGTGCACACGTGGACTTAAGAGTGTAGAGCAGAAAAGGGAGAAAGGGGGTCATATTCTGGATTAAGAGCATCTAGAATAGTGTCAATGCTTTGGGGAGTCTCAGAATCAGTGTCAAAACCTGGGTTTCAGAGTGCCATGGTCGGAATCATTACACAGATTTCAAGAGTTTGAAAAAGATCTCAGTGGAAATCTAATCTGACCCATGTACCAAAGGAATCCTCTCTGTAATGTGCCCAGTATCTACCTCTCCTTAAAGAGATCCACAGAGAAGTAACCGGCTAACTCCCAAGGCAACTCATTCTGCTTTCAGAAAGCTCTAAATGTTGGGACCTTCCTCCTGATGTCCAGCCTAAGTCAGCCTCTTTGCTACTCAGTCTTTATTCCTGGTTGTGCCTTCTGGCCAAGAATAATCCATCAAATACTAGAAGTCAGTCATTATGTCCCCCATGAACTTTCTCTTCTCCCAAACAAACATTCCCCATTCACTCAACCAATTCTCATACGACATGAATTCAAGATTTTTCATCAACCTGATTGCTTTTCCCCTGGACACTGTCCAGCTTGCTGATATCCTTCCTAAACTGTAGTGCCCCGAACTCTTGGTGCCATCATACTCTTGATATAGCCTGACCAAGGGGAAACTGGACGTTATTAGTCTCCTAATGTATTTCAAGGTCACGTTAGGATTTTGGGAATGGGGGGAGGGGTTGCCTATCATAATGTATTAAGGTTGCAATCCACTACAACTACCAGATTTTTTTCATAAAATTGCTGCCTAGTCATGCCATTTTCAAAATCCAAGCTTAAAAATTTAAATTTATCATCATAAAATTTTATATTCTTAGATTCAGTCCAATGCCCTTAAACTGTCAGGAGCCTTTTGGATCCTGTCAACCACCATATTGGCTATACCTCCCAGTTTTCGGTCATCTGATAACTTGATGCATATGCCATTCAAACCTTCATCCAAGTCATTAATAAAAATATTAAATAGCACAGGGACTAACACTGATCCCTGGACACCTCCTACCAAGTTACTACTAATGTGGATTCTTTGAATACATGCTCTCTCATAAAGTTGAGGTGCACTCTCCCACAGGTATACAAAGCATATGTGTGAAGAGTGGACACAAACTAAGAATGCAATGGTAGAGGGGCATACGTATAGGAAATATATGTGCCCAGAGCAACTCATTCAAACTGACCAACTGCGTCAACTGACTGCTGACAGGCTTAGCTACTTAAAGGCTTCCAGAAGCATGGACAATTTTCACTGTCCAATGGCCAAATGACCTTTTTAATTAAGGAAAGGAACTTATGCACACCTCATAAAAGAACTCCAGGCATGGCCACACCTTTCCAGTTAATTTAACCCCTTGATTACATTCTGGGTTTCCTAGTCAGGGAGGGAACCAAGGACTAATCTCCCTTCCTATATTCTTACCATCTTTTGTTGGGTGCATTCCATCACTGGTGAATATTCTACCACTCTCTTATTTTAAGCCAAGGCCTAGAATTCCAAATCCCACTCTCTTTTCCAACTATTTACTTCCCAGATATTTTCTCTTCCGAATCCCTTACAGCAAAGAAAAAATAACCTGTGCCCTTCTCGTCATCAGTTTCCTCTTCAAGACTTCTCCATATGTAGTCATAGTTTTTAAGTTCCTTCCAGAAATTTCATTTGTAGCCCCTGTAAATCACCAGAAGAGGGCAGTAATGGTCTGTTTTTACAAGTATCAGATATAATGCCTTAGCTTCCTTTTCTGAGAAAACAGTAGACCTTGTTGTTGTCATCAGGTGGACAAATAGCCATCTCAGCCACTTGTTTGTAGTTTAAAGCCACAAACTATCACCTTTCTTCACTTGTGGTCTCATCTGATAATTTCTGGGCTTCTATTATTTCACTCTTTGGAGGACAAACAACTACTAACTCCTTGGGGCAGCACATTCTTCGGAAAGAGGCTCAGATTAATTTATTAGCTCCAAATGTACAGTTGTCTTTTTAAAAAGTGTTAATATTTTGCTTCTAAAACTTGGGGGGGGGGGAAAGTAGATGTACATATCTATTCTAAATTTTGCTTCCTGTGAGCAAACAAAAAAATACATTTGGATAGCCATAAAACATGACATTCCAGAGGCATAGTCACAAAACTGTCTGCTGCAGTGAACTTTCAAACTCTGTGTAACAGAGGGCTGGCCAATGAGAGTACAGTCCTTACGATGTTGATGCAGTCCCCAACGTTGACTCTGGAGCATGTACAGGTACTCTATAACAGTTATTATTCCACTTATCACGTGGTGAGGAAAGGCATTTTGACCATTATGGGGACTTCTCAGGGCAGGGCCAAGATGGTGGAGTAGAGGAAGCAGCTGACCTTTCCCAACATTCCCTTCCAAACAACTTTAACATAAGGCCTCAAATTGAAGTGAACATCATAAACAACAAAAGATTGTGATAAGACAATCTTCCAGCCTGAGACAACTTAAAGAAGTTGGAAGGACAAGTCTCTGAAACTAGGGTGGGGACTGGCCCAGAGCCTAAGAGACAGCAATGTCAGTTGTAGGCCTTAAAGGTGGCAACAGGAAGAACAGTAGTTTTAGTAGTGCTTAAGCCAGAGACAGTAATAGCATTTGGCAACTGGTCAGAAAGAAACAGGTAGATGGTGCAATGGATAGAATACGAGGCCTGGAGTCAATCTTCCTGAGTTCAAATCTGACCTTAGACGCTTACTAGCGATGTGACCGAGATTAAGCCATTTCACCCTGTTTGCCTCAGTTTCCTCATCTATAAAATGAGCTGGAAAAGGAAATGGCAAACCACTCCAGTATCTCTGCTAAGAAAACCCTAAATGGAGTCACAAAGAGATGAACATTACTGAAAAACAGCTGATCTGAACAAGAGACTATAGGAGCCCCTGTGCAAACACTGAACATAGGACAAGGAGCTATTTGGCAACTCCCTTGGTCATACCCACTTCTGGGTCACAGTTTCAGGGCAGAGAGAAAGACTTGTTCTTCCAAGGGAGCAGGGACCCTGAGGAGCAGTATTACTTCCAATTGAAAGAAATCAGAGATCACACCTCTCCCTGGATCACACCATCTTGGAAGTACCAAGAACTTCCAAACTCCTAGAACTAGCTTTAAAAAACAGCAGCGTGCAAAAGTCTGAAGCTTGAGACAGTGTCTCCACTCCCGTCCCCACCCGGAACACAACCCAACTTTAACATAAAGTTCAAAGTCAAGACATAAGCTAGAAAAATGAGGAAACACACACACACACACACACACACACACACACACACACACACACACAAAAACATGACTATTAAAAACTGTTATGGTGGCAGGGAAGAGAAAGACATAAATTTGGAAGACAACAATGTCAAAATAGCTACAAGCAAAACCTGAAGGAAAAATGCTAATTGGATCCAAACCCAACAAGAATTCATGGAAGAGCTAAAAAAAATTTATTTTAAAAATAAAATGAGTGGTAGAGGAAAAATTTGGAAAAGAAATGAGAATAACACAAGAAAACAATATAAAGACAATTGACAGCTTAGTAAAAGAAGTACACAAAAAAAAACCTGAAGAAAACATCTTAAAAAACAGAATTGACCAAATTGGAAAAGAGGTACAAAACTTCACTGATGAAAACAATCCCTTAAAAGGTAGACTGTATGGAAAAAGAGGTGCAAAAGCTAACTGAAGAAAATAATTCCTTAGAAATTAGAATTGAGCATGTGAAACCTAATGACTCCATG